AAAAATTTTAAAAACATTTTGTGCCCCCTTCCCCCCCCCCCCCCCCCCCCTCATGCATGTACAGTGCATTTACTCCCCTATTTTGGTAACTTCTAGATTCATAAGTATCAAGATCCAACTTTTCCAAGCAACATCAAAATTTGCTGCTTTTCATTTTTGTTATTCCCCAGATGTAACTGTTTCTGGCTTTAATACTGATTGCCAGTATCTTGAAGTTGTATTTTGGCAAGACACATGTAACTTCACAAGCACATGTGTTCGCCAGAAGTTAATTTTGTTAAAACAATGCCTGGTATAAATTCAAATGATAACGTGTTTGAGAGTATGAATTCTCACTGGACGTGGACTTGTGTTTGGGAGTTGAGTGCCTCCCCCAAGACATTTCTGTCTTCATCGACAATAGCTGCACCCGTGTCATCGCAACTTGTTTCAATGCCCAACACTTTCAGTGGTGTGACACTTCCGTGAAAACGTCGAGTTTCAGGATTTTTGTTTACAGCTGATCGTCTTGGTTTTGTGCATATTGTATTTTTGGTATATGAAAGAATTTTGCAGTAGCTTTGACCAGGATATTGGAGTCGTAGCGCCGAAATTTTAGTTAAATGCTGTATCAACCGGCTTGTCACTTTCCTGCACATGGGCGCAGACATGTTGGATCGATCCCATAATGCTCACATTTGAGCGCCGAAATGGTTGCCTGATAATAAACCCAAGCATTGCATTTTCTCTGTATACTGAATTAAGTAACCATTTGTTTTTATTTTTGATATATATAAACTCAACTTCATGAAAGTGGAGATAAAGATGACTTTATTTTGACGATCTATGCAATATTTCAACCGGAAGTCCTTCCAACCCCAACCCTCGTGGCAGGCTAATATATTTAACGCAACCTTCTCATGCAATTTGGGTTGAGGTTAGTGACACAGGCCGTTCTCTGTAAGACACAGCGCGTTTTACTTTCTGCTCGAAGCTTGGGCACATCCAATCCAAGATTTCCAAAGCATCAGCCGGAGAACTGGTTCAGTAAGAGAGGAAAACGCCTGACTAGCGCCGGCAACACGATGACTGAGGTCGATCCAAAAGTAGAAGCAATCCTTCAACCGCTAAGGGATGCGGTGAAACAGCAGGTGCGTGATTTATCTAAATGCTTCAAACGGTAAACGTTAGATAGCTTTAACAACCTAGAACGGTGTCAATATTCTAAAGTTGATTGTGCAACGTTTCCAAGTCCTTTCGCCCTTATAAACTTACGAATCCTGGTCATTTGATTGACTTCTAGTATGAGTTTGACAAGCGTATTTGTTCCTCTACGTGTTTGAGATGGGTTCGAGATCAGCTGATGCAATACCAGGAACTGAATCAAAACACACAAAGTCTGTGTTCTCAAATACGCGCTTAACAATACTCGATCTGTTGTTCTAATATATTGCATAATAGGGATGTTTGTCTTTATTCTAACAGAAAACAAATTATACGTAGTACATCACTTGTCTTCACTTGTCATTTACATACAGTAATTACACATGCAACTGCTTGATTATTTACAACACAAATCAAATGTATAATATGGAAAATATTTTAGTTCTAATTAATCACCACTGTCTATCTGTAATCATATTTTATGTAACTGTTGTTTTGTTATAAAAAAGGAAATTATTATCATTATTATTTGTAAGTCTCTAGTGTTTATTATTATTATTATTATTATTATATATTTTTTGGTTGTCTAGTTGCTTGATATCTTTTCCTTAGACCCTGTTATTTGTCATTGAGTTGAAGACAATATAAATTGTTAAGGAAAAGTGGCAGTTGATATTTCTTTGTTAAAAAAAAATGACTAATTGACCATTAAATGATCCTGGGTCAACCTTGAACATTGTGAATCTCTTTAAATCATGAGCACTTTCATATGATGTATTTCAGTATGTATTTTCTCTTATCATTAGGTGAAATGAAAATATGGCTGAATCCTATATTTATCATTTTTATACATTTGGGTTCCATTTTAAATGCATAAAGTCATGCATGAGCAGTTTCTGATTTTTTTTTTTTTTTACATTTTGATGCAAATGCACTTGTTATTATGACAGAATACAAAGTACTCAGTAGGTGCGAGCATTTTATGCCAATATGTTATATTTATTGGAAAAAATGTATTTTTGATGATGAGATCATACAAAAGAATAGAATGTGGTTACTTTTTAACCAGAGTGCTCAAATTAGTACCATTGGGAAGTTAAATTTTTTATAATTTCCTCTTTTATGTGACGATGACTGGGAAATTTTTTAGTATGGGAAAAATGTTTCTAGCGATGAAAAGTACTTTTGTCTAAGGAGTATACAGGTAAAGGAGTATATTCACACAGGTTAGAAATGTACCAGCTGCTTTGAAGCCAGAGTTATCAATTTTTTCCTAAGTGCAAGAGTAGAATACCACAATTAAATGTGTTTCCTCTTCCCCAGGGAGATATTGTGCGGAAACTTAAAGAGGAAAAGGCACCAGAAATAGATATTAAGAGGGCTGTGGCCGACCTTAAGACCAAGAAGAAGGCATTAGAAGATAAGGTAAGATGAAAACTATTAATTATTTAATTAATAAGAACACAGTTGCACTCTCTAAGGGAATATGAAAAACAATACCTTTCATCTTCTAAGGAACTGGCTTCTATGTGCTACTTCCTTATTGATCCAATTGCAGTTGCATTGAGTTCTTTATCTTGAGTATANGTCATGCATGAGCAGTTTCTGATTTTTTTTTTTTTTTACATTTTGATGCAAATGCACTTGTTATTATGACAGAATACAAAGTACTCAGTAGGTGCGAGCATTTTATGCCAATATGTTATATTTATTGGAAAAAATGTATTTTTGATGATGAGATCATACAAAAGAATAGAATGTGGTTACTTTTTAACCAGAGTGCTCAAATTAGTACCATTGGGAAGTTAAATTTTTTATAATTTCCTCTTTTATGTGACGATGACTGGGAAATTTTTTAGTATGGGAAAAATGTTTCTAGCGATGAAAAGTACTTTTGTCTAAGGAGTATACAGGTAAAGGAGTATATTCACACAGGTTAGAAATGTACCAGCTGCTTTGAAGCCAGAGTTATCAATTTTTTCCTAAGTGCAAGAGTAGAATACCACAATTAAATGTGTTTCCTCTTCCCCAGGGAGATATTGTGCGGAAACTTAAAGAGGAAAAGGCACCAGAAATAGATATTAAGAGGGCTGTGGCCGACCTTAAGACCAAGAAGAAGGCATTAGAAGATAAGGTAAGATGAAAACTATTAATTATTTAATTAATAAGAACACAGTTGCACTCTCTAAGGGAATATGAAAAACAATACCTTTCATCTTCTAAGGAACTGGCTTCTATGTGCTACTTCCTTATTGATCCAATTGCAGTTGCATTGAGTTCTTTATCTTGAGTATATCCATTAGATATTGCTTATTGTTTTCGAACATAAAACAGTGTTGTAGTACTCGCATATATGGATTTTCAATTTATAGCAGGGATGGTCAGGTGTGCTTGAACTGGGTTTGTGATATATATTCATTTGATGCCCAAAAGCTAGAAATAAAATGTTCTCTCTTTTTGCTGTTTTATTTCCTTTCTTTTTTCCTGAGTTATGTCAGGAAATAAGGCACTGTCAGTTAGTATTTGGATAAATTCAGATATTTTTACTCCCCAAGACCATTGTGTGAATATGGACCAGTACTATAAACTGTTTCAGACATACTCTTTTTTTTCTTTTTTACTACTTTAAATATAACATGCCAACATTTGCTTTTTTTTCCTTTTACTCACCCAATATATCTCGAACTCGGGCATATATTTTTCTCCAGTGGCTCTGACAAATTGCCTTCGTTCTCTTTTGCAGGAGCTGGAGCTTGAGCCTAAAGATGCTCAGTTTGATAGAGTCAAGATGGAGGACCTTCTCAAGCAAAGGTTCTTCTACGACCAAGCATTTGCCATCTACGGAGGTAAAAAAAATTGAAAGTGAAAGTGCATTGTTTGTGTTTTTGCTGTAAAGAAAGGCGAAATCCTACTTGAATCATGCCAGTGGTGAAGTTTTCATGAAGTTTTTTATTGTTTTTTGCTGTTAACTTTGCAATGGAATTTATTAAGCTAGATATTATTAAGAAAAAAACTTTTGTGCAGTCTTTTCCACTGGACTGGTATGTACATTTATATACTAATCAGACAAATTTTAAGAAACAAGTGTTAAGGTTAAAAAAAACTGTTGTTTCAATTCTCAGGAGTGAATGGGTTGTATGACTTTGGTCCCATGGGATGTGCCATGAAGGCGAACCTGCTGAATGCATGGAGAAAACACTTCATCCTTGAGGAACAGATGCTGGAGGTGGACTGCTCCATGCTCACACCAGAGCCTGTGCTGATGTAAGGGTTTGTCTATCTAGTGCCCGGTCTCTTAAGACATTGGTTATGATGGTAGCACCTTTTTTTTCTGAAAAATATGTACGAGTCTGTTTGCCTGTCTGTTAATCTGTCTGTATGAACACCATTTCAGTTTTTTTTCTGTAAAATATGATAATTGTGAAATTTTGAAAAATGGGTGGGGGGTCAGTCAGTTTTTCATTTCTTTGTTTTTAAGGGTTAGCTTGCTTTTATTTGCAGTGTTTGAATATGATTTTGCTCTTTTCTCAATCACTCAAAGTTGATCCCTTAAGGCATTCTTTCCTTAAGTCAAGACATTGGTCCTAGTTATAAAATATTCATGGACACATTTGAGAGTGTTGTCCTTTAAACTTGTCATTTTGTATTCTTCCAGAGCTTCTGGTCACGTTGAGAGGTTTTCAGATTATATGGTTAAAGACATGAAGAATGGCCAGTGCTTCCGAGCTGACCATTTAATTGAAGGTGATTTTTTTTTACTTGTTAATTCAAACATTTCCATGAGCACATAAAAAGTAAAAAATAAAGTGAAAGTTTTGAAGAATCAGAAAAATTTTCTTACATGATTTGACCCAGAAACTATACAAAGTACAGTGTACTAAGTTAACTAAAGCATGTATCTACCTCCGTTATTGCTATTTGTGTATAATTATCAAAGAAAAGTCCTCACATTTTGAAATCTTGTTTTAAACAATAACTGTTGCCCTTTCAGCCCACCTAGAGAAACTTCTCACTGACAAGAAACTGGCAGACGATGTTAAAGAAAAGGCAGCCAAAATATTATCAGTGGTAGGTTTTGTATCCTGCTTCTTATTCTATAGATTATCAAAGAGTCTTGCTTCTTATTAGCTGAAGCAGGGCAAAATATTTGTTTTAAATCAGTTGTTTAAGACCTAATCAAAAATCTTTGTGTGTTACTGTTATAAAGCTCCATGGTCGACCACACTTATAGTATAATTTATGAACAAAAAATGTTATTACATTTTACAGATAGGTGGACTGACTTATTTAAAAAAAAAGGTCACTTTCAAATCTTTGTCTGTTACTTTTATAAAAGTTCCATGGCCAATCATAATTAAAGTATAATTTGTAAACAAAAAATGGTAATATATTTTACAGATAGATGGACTGACCAAAGAAGAAATGGGCTCCATTATGAAGACGTATAACATGAAGTCACCAGTCTCTGGGAATGACTTGTCAGAGCCTGTCGCCTTCAACCTTATGTTCAGCACCTCTATTGGACCAACTGGGACCGTGAAAGGGTGGGTACTAAATGACTATTGGCCGATTTCAGATTTTTTAGTAGTATTGGTGCTGGAAGTAATAAGAATTTTCCACCTATCAGCGAATATCAGACTTTTTGGGAGCCAAAGAGTATCATCCCTGCTAACATTTTTTTAAAGAGTATTCTGCTGTGTTATTTCTTTCACTTTATTTTCACTGTGAAAGTTGTAGTTTTTATGGAGAAGTAAGATGCTTTTAAAAGAGCTAACAAACTAAATCCTTACAATTTATAATTCAGATTTTGATTTTGTAATTTGATAATCAAAATCAGTAGTATTTCTTAGATAGCTATAGCCTTTTGGGTATTATTGACCTTTTTTATGATTACATATTTTATAACTAGATTAATAAGTATGATTATTATTTTACTGAATTCCAAATCATAATAATATTTGATATAATTGTAATTTATATAATTATAATTTAGTTTTATTGACTTCCAGTTATCTACGCCCAGAGACAGCTCAGGGAATATTTGTCAACTTTAAACGCCTTTTGGAATTCAATCAGGGAAAACTGCCATTTGCTGCAGCACAGATAGGCAACTCTTTTAGGAATGAAATCTCACCGAGATCTGGACTAATACGAGTCAGGTAACATTTGTGTGAATAATACAAGTGTTAATGTCAATTTATAACCTGTATACCTATATGTTAGATTTTTCTTAATGATCTCAAACACAAACACACACTCACTCACTCTCTCTCTCTCTCTCTCTGTTTCAATATTTATAAGTAGCTGCATGCCACAGTGTCGGTGATAATGAAAAGAGTGAATTAAATAGAATGAAAAATCACCCATTATATATGATCATTATTTCAGAGAGTTCACAATGGCGGAAATCGAGCACTTTTTAGACCCCGAGGACAAGAGTCACCCCAGATTTAAGGATGTCGCCGATCTACGAATTCCGTTGCACTCGGCTTGTAACCAGCTGGACGGCAAACCAGTACAGGTGATGACACTGGGCGAGGCCGTGGAACAGGTAAGTGTGCCTTTATTTTCTAACCACCCTGTACTTTGTCCTGCTTCCCTCCTCTCCTTGCCCCCCCCCCTCCCCCTTCCGCAACCACAACTAGTTCATTAACTATCCTTGTGGGACATAGTAAAGGGCCCCTGTGAAACATTGTACAGTTTATTTTAAAAAAAATAAACCCTGTAATATCCCATTCTCCCTCTCCCCCTTTCTAAAAAGAATACAACTACTTTGAGGGAGAGAAAGAGTTGAAAAGACTAATAAATTAAGTAACTTACTAATTTGAAAGATATCCTCAGTCTTGGAAATGATTTACCATTGACTACAGGAGGTCAAAAACTTACTTTTAAGCTTGATTTTAAAAAACCTTAAAAAGTGTTCTATCTTATCGTATATTCAGTATTTTTAATGGTAATATTTGTAAAATTCAATTTCTTTTTTTTTTTCTTTTTTTGTAAGAGGCATCAACTTGTTATGGAATGCACCATATTGTAAACAATATTCATGATATTATTTATTTTCTCTAGAAAATCATCAATAATCAAACATTGGGTTACTTCATGGGAAGAATCTACCTATTTATGACCAAGTGTGGCGTAGACCCGACAAGGTTCCGCTTCCGTCAGCACATGTCCAACGAAATGGCTCACTACGCCTGCGACTGCTGGGATGCTGAGTGTAAAACGTCTTACGTAAGTGGTTAAAAAGGCGTGATTTAGTTTACATCATTGTTCAGAAGTCAACGTCTTCTTGAGGAGGACTCAGTGTCATATTGTCATAGAAATCATTGAGCAGAAAATTATTCTTAGTCCAAAAATAGATTTTTAGAAATAATTGTATCTGTAAGTAGCAAAATGTAGAGATAGGATTTTTTCCATTGGGAAAATTGCAGTCTTTTTCATTTTGAATGAAGAGTAAAGAAAATTGTTATATTTGATATATATAAAAAGTAGAATTATAACAGAAATTTGGATGAAAGGGATTGAGATTTTCTCTAATACAGACATGCTTAAGATTCTCTAGAAAGGATTTACCTTTTTTTTTAATCATCTTTACACAAAAGATTATTTATAAAAACCTGATGAGAAATTGCAAGCTATATTTTTAGGATTTTCCATTTTTACAACTTTCACCCATGTTATTATTAATATTATTATCACAGGGCTGGATAGAATGTGTTGGCTGTGCTGACCGCTCCTGTTATGACCTGAAGCAGCACCAGAAGGCCACGGGTGTCACCCTGTCTGCATCCAAGCAACTACCAGAACCTATATCCTTGCTTCAGACATGAGCTTTTCCCCACGGAATCACAGAATTCCATTTTTTTTTACATGACCCCATAGCGATCAGACCCCCAAAAATGTACGTAAGGTGTTTGGTTCCAAACGAGAATAAACCAAAAAAATTTTTTTCTAAAACCTTGACTCATATCTGTTCCTTGTGCTAGCAGTTATCACCGAATTTGTCTTTTTCACAGATATTGATGCCAAGTGTGGTTTACCCATTTCCACTGGTCGGGGTTCATGCCTATTTCCACCGATGCGCATGCAGGGTTTACCCATTTCCACTAGCCCTGTGTGATTGTGCATGTGTCATGCCAGAAATAGGCATGAAACCTGAACCAGCGGAAATGGGTTAATAGTGCATGCACCTCGTTGTTGGTGAAAAGTTAAATGTGGTGTATAATAATATATGTTGAATGTGGTGTATTGTAGTAAATGCTGTGGTGATCCCTTTAGTCATTGCATTCTATGTTCATCCTTATGACTTTTTCACGCATGCCACTTCATCGTATTTCTCTTTAACTTTGCCTTACAAAACAGTAGAGTTTGTGGAGCCACAGATGCAGAAGGGGGTAATTGGCAAGGCGTTCAAGAAAGATGGCAAGGCGGTGATAGACTTCATTGCTGCGATGGACAAGGAAGAGGTGGAAGCCATGGACAGAGCCCTTAATGACAGAAAGTAAATTGAATTTTTGTTTTCGTTGTATGTCTTTATAACTGTGTACTATTCTTAATTTTGTGTTTGCTTTAGTAAGTGTTTTCATTTGTAAGTATTGATGTTGTATGCATGTGATAATATTGAGATTATAGTAATATGTTTTGATTGAGGATAACAGTATATTTTCATATGAATTGAAAACTAAGTATCCAATAGGAATATCAAGATAAGATAATAAACATATATTATACCAATTGTAATCAGACATAGGGTCTTTTCAGAACCAAGTTGATCCTCAGACTAACTGATCCGTGGATCAAATAT